ACTTTGAAACAGAAAAGGTTAGTTTTTGTGATTAGTTCATTTTGAGTTTCGCTCATAAACAGACAAAGCTTCATAAGCAGATCTCTTGTGTTCAGGTGTTATCCCTTCCCCGAGCGTTGCCTATCTGAGTTTTCCTACTTAGTCTGCTGTAAAATAGCAGAACTTTCCATAAAACCTGCTTGATCAGTGTGAACACCTCGAGAACGCTTATATATGCAGTTCAGGCAGCAAGTTCCGTGTTCGGCAGATTTCGTTAAAGCACACGAACACTTTCCGAGTCTTGCCATCCGAACATGTGCGGCATGTTTCGAGTTTAAGAAAAAAATGGTCACTCTGTGACGTAATGAAGTTACATCGTGTTGCTGAAAACTTCCGTGGTAAAGACTCGGGAATCAGTGAGTTCTTGTTTCTGCGATAACGCCTTCATCTGGTACTTATTCTCCCGTGAGATTCGCGGTCGCCACATGCGCCCTTCCGGCATCTTAGTTACCAATCCGTTCTCTTCCCAGGCGGACATCCCAAAGGGAGCGATCAGTTGTAAGGCCATCACCCGTGTCTACGAGCACCGGAAGTGCGGCAAGAGCAAACGTGAGTTCCTGTTTTGTGTGGACACTCCAGACCGTACATACACGATGTACGCACCGACCGAGCACAGTATGAAAATTTGGATGACATGTTTAACGATATCGCCGACTGCTATTGAACTCCAGAGAGATCAAACGTAGTGCAAGTGAAATGAAAAGCCTGTCTGACAGTGCAGCTCCGATAAAGCACCTAATTTGTTTTGTTCCAGAAAAGACCCGACGTTCCATGAAATGGTCCCACTAAAGACGAAGAGCTAGAAATCTACTTCCAAATATGAGAAGAAAGCGTCAAAAGCACATCTGTAGTAGCTCTTCAGTTTACTATACTGAGAATTTTTAAGGAAATGACAGCAATTTCAAAGCGGGTGGCAAAATTTTCCGCAAGCACTTTCTTGAAGTTAGCTATTGAGAAAATATCTTTATCTGTGCTCAACGTAGCGTGCAGAACCTTTTACAGGCAATACTTCAATAAGTGGCTTTAGCAAGTGGAACATTTTGTTATTCTTTTGTCNTCACCAAGAAGTACCTAGCGTACTTTGAAACAGAAAAGGTTAGTTTTTGTGATTAGTTCATTTTGAGTTTCGCTCATAAACAGACAAAGCTTCATAAGCAGATCTCTTGTGTTCAGGTGTAATCCCTTCCCCGAGCGTTGCCTATCTGAGTTTTCCTACTTAGTCTGCTGTAAAATAGCAGGACCTTTCATAAAACCTGCTTGATCAGTGTGAACACCTCGAGAACGCTTATATAGGCAGTTCAGGCAGCAAGGTCCGTGTTCGGCAGATTTCCGTTAAAGCACACGAACACTTTCCGAGCCTTGCCATCCGAACATGTGCGGGATGTTTCGAGTTTAACAAAAAAAATGGTCACTCTGTGACGTAATGACGTTACATCATGTTGCTGAAAACTTCCATGGTAAAGACTCGGGAATCAGTGAGTTCTTGTTTCTGCGATAACGCCTTCATCTGGTACTTATTCTCCCGTGAGATTCGCGGTCGCCACATGCGCCCTTCCGGCATCTTAGTTACCAATCCGTTCTCTTCCCAGGCGGACATCCCAAAGGGAGCGATCAGTTGTAAGGCCATCACCCGTGTCTACGAGCACCGGAAGTGCGGCAAGAGCAAACGTGAGTTCCTGTTTTGTGTGGACACTCCAGACCGTACATACACGATGTACGCACCGACCGAGCACAGTATGAAAATTTGGATGACATGTTTAACGATATCGCCGACTGCTATTGAACTCCAGAGAGATCAAACGTAGTGCAAGTGAAATGAAAAGCCTGTCTGACAGTGCAGCTCCGATAAAGCACCTAATTTGTTTTGTTCCAGAAAAGACCCGACGTTCCATGAAATGGTCCCACTAAAGACGAAGAGCTAGAAATCTACTTCCAAATATGAGAAGAAAGCGTCAAAAGCACATCTGTAGTAGCTCTTCAGTTTACTATACTGAGAATTTTTAAGGAAATGACAGCAATTTCAAAGCGGGTGGCAAAATTTTCCGCAAGCACTTTCTTGAAGTTAGCTATTGAGAAAATATCTTTATCTGTGCTCAACGTAGCGTGCAGAACCTTTTACAGGCAATACTTCAATAAGTGGCTTTAGCAAGTGGAACATTTTGTTATTCTTTTGTC